TTCGCTTCTTCTGACCAATGGAATACAGTCAGTATTCCGACCGTTTCGCTGACAGATACAGTGAGTCTTCTGCACAGATGCCTACTATTCCCCTCCAATTAACTGCGGTGCCCTGTAGGAGTGAGTGCATTTTACTAACTTCTCGGTTCCCTAATGACTGTTACATTATACTTGCCACAGATGTGAGTCTGTTTGGAGTGTGTGCCGCCCAGGGCTTGTCGCTGACTGGATTTTCCAGGCTTTATTATATATGTCATATGGAATTGGACAGCTTTTGTGGTATTTGCAATGCTGTGGGGTGAGAATGGCACCTGCGAGAACTCAGTGGTGTTGACTTGACTGAAACATGTTCCAAGTCATCGTCATCGCTCGGTTGCATGCTATGTATCAACGATCCAGAAAGATCTTGATATTTCTCATTGTCACCTTCCTGGCTCTCAACGTTTTCAACGGAGGGGCCACCATAATGATAACGATGCATGCTTCAGGGGGTACGCTTAATTGTGGATGACAAAAAATACGCATCTCATTGATGAATACCAGAGGAACTCACTCTCTCTGGCATCCATCAGTGCTCGATTGACTTTGCCGAAGATGCTGTACTTCTGGTTTCCATTACTTGGATACTTGCCTTTGTGTGGGAGGTCCTCGCACTGTGTCACACAGTATGGATGGCGGTAAAACATTTCCGTGAACTGCGGCAACATTCGGCCCGAAGGATTGTCGGGGACTGTTTCACGATGTTGATCAACACTCACATGCTCTACTTTGCGAGGTGAGCTCATATTGTGATTTTAATTTCCTTTTTCCACTGAAGGGTCGGGCGTGGTAGCATGGTTGTTGTTTCTTGCTTCACCTTCATTCTTACTTTCTCAGCGGTATGTCAATCTTTCACTTACCTCTGCATGCGACCACGGTTCATCATTTCTATAGGACACACTTTCCCTGGGAAGTCAGATTAATTCTGGGCTTCTTCAGATTTCGGAGGTCTTGCAGATGTTTGTGCTGGGACCCCGCCTGATCCTTAGCATTCGAGAATATCACGCTAAGCTCGTGGCCGGTTCCGACGCAGAAACCGGCATAACCACAATCGCTTTCGAAGAGCGTGTGCATATATCGACTACTAGTAGTGTGTAATGCTCGGTTAGTGCTCTGCAAGGAGCAGGGGAATTTACTTTATTTATATTCTTTCCTACTTTTGTGATAGTATGCAAGCTTCTTCGACTGTATTGGAATCGGCTAGTTGTTTGACCGATACTCCTTCAAGATCTCTACGATGGTCATTGGCCTCTTCACTTGCAAGTCGTACATTCTCAGGATGCGTGAAGTCGCAGTGACGCCTGCGTGAGCAGCTTCGCCCTGAGTTTGTTGTTTCAGGACCACCTCAAGTATTTGCTCTCCTCGCCTCCTCACCTATAACTCCCAGCAGATGACACCCCATGGATCGCATGTGTACGACAGCTCTCAACTCGTACTACTCTGGTGTAACATCAAGATTGAATCGCATGCAGCACCAACAATCATACCTTAACACAAACAATCCATCCTGCCAGTACACCCGCCGGAAATCCGTCTCCACAATCTACTTCGCCATCGGTCTTCGCCAACTCACCTTTACATGCACACCATTCTTGCCATTCTCAGCGCTCCATGCTGTGATTGACAAGTAAGATGCATTGCCTAACGCATTAAACTGCACAATGCGGTATGGCACAGAACTATCTGAGCCCTTATCTGTTGCCTCGGGGCTCGTAGTGTGACAATCTGCATGTGATATTCAGCTCGCCAGTAGACGCCTACCGGCACTGCATCACCTACTAGGCTACATACTTAAACCAATAGTATATGGAAAGCGGAGATGCGTGTTCAGTTAGCAAATATCAAAATCAGGTTTAACTTCAAATGGTTTGGTTTAGTTGGCTACAACGTGCTACCCGAGCTACTGTAGCACTTAACAACTACTGTAGCGGAGTTTTGCTACTGTGCTTCCCCTTGCTACGAAGCGCTATATAGTTCAAAATATTTCACTGATGGCCTCTGTATTCTCGTGGCTCAGCGTGGCTCAGCCTGTTGCGGGTTTTGACTGGGCATCATCCCTCGATCTCATTTTGGTGATCTCAGCACTGCCAGATGGTGGTTATATATATGCCATCGCCATACGTCCACCAAGTTTGCCTCTTACCTACACCCATTCTCTAACAATATGACCATAGTCTCGGACGAGCCCAGTTGGTGGCCGTCGATCAATGCATATCGTTTTGCCAGCTATTTTATAGGTTCGTGGAGGGCAGTCGGATGTTGAAACTGATGCATCAATCTAATCTTGACTGCGGTTCGCAGTTACCACCTTTGTTGGACTGCTGTATGATTGGGGTGAGCATGATAATATCAAACTGCTGATATCTCACAAGTATTTTCAGCACTTACGTTCGGACAAGAGGTGTGTCAACGCTATGACTGGAGCAGCCATGTTGCTAAAAATGGTTTTATAGGTCGAACTGATTTGGGTGAGTAGAGTCTTATGTTAGAGGAACGTATATGAAAATACACTTAATTCCAGAGGCACCACTGGTCCCTAATGACAGTTCTGTATCTTAGTGTGCGTAGCTTGTTTGTCGCGGTTGTTGTGTCGTGCTGACTTGAAAGTATCCTAGGTGCGGTACCTTGGGATCTTATATGCTGCGTACGTTCGGAGCGCTAACCAATCGGTGTTGTGCTAATAATCTATTTTTCATATTCAGCCTGGCCATGCTGCGTATGTCTTCTCAGTACATTCGCTGTCTTTCCTTCTTCCGACCAATGGAATTCAGTCAGCGTTCCGACCATCTCGCTGACAGATACAGTGAGTCTTCTTCACAGATGTCTACTATTCCCCTCCAATTAACTGCGGTGCCCTGTAGGAGTGAGTGCATTTTACTAACTTCTCGGTTCCCTAATGACTACCACATTATACTTATACAGATGTGAGTCTATTTGGAGTGTGTGGGGCCCAGGGCTTGTTACTGACTGAATTTTCCAGGCTTTATAATATATGTCATATGGAATTGGACAGGCCTTGTGGTGTTTGCAATGATGTGGGGTGAGAATGGCACTTGCGAGAACTCAGTGGTATTGACTTGACTGAAACATGCTGCAAGTCATCATCATCGTTCGGTTGCATGCTATGTATCAACGATCCAGAAAGATCCTGATATTTCTCATTGTCACTTTCCTGTCTGTCAACATTTTCGGTGGAGTGGTTGCTGTAATGATAACGATCCATACTTCAGGAGGTACGCTTAATTGTTGATGACGAAAAATACCCATGTCATTGATGAATATCAGAGGAATTCATTCTCTCCGGCACCTATCAGTGCTCGATTAGCTATCCGGAAGATATGCTACTTCTGGATTCCATTACTTGGATACTTGGCTTTGTGTGGGAGGTCCTTGCACTGTGTCACACAGCCTGGATGGCGGTAAAACACTTCCGTGAACTGCGGCAGCATTCGACAGGAAGGATTGTCGGGGACTGTTTCACGATGTTGATCAAAACTCACATGCTTTACTTTGCGGGGTGAGCTGGTATTGTCATTATTGTTCCCTTTTTTCTACTGAAGGGTCGGACGCGGCAGTATGGTTGCTATTTCTTGCATCACCCTCAGTCTTTATTTCTCTCCAAATTTCTTAACGGTATGTCTATCTTTCGCTTACCTCTGCATGCGACCACGGTTCATCATTTCTATAGGACACACTTTCCCTGGAAAGACAGATTGATTTTGGGCTTCTTCAAGTTTTGGAGGTCATGCAGATGTTTGTGCTAGGACCCCGCCTGATCCTTAGCATTCGAGAATATCACGCTAAGCTCGTGGCCGATTCCGACGCAGCAACCGGCATAACCACAATCGCTTTTGAAGAGCGTGTGCATATGTCGACTGGTGTTAGTGTGTAATGCTCGGTTAGTGCTCTGCCAGGAGCAGGGGAATTTACCTTATTTCTTCCCACTTTTGTGATAGTATGCAAACTTTCTCGACTGCATTGGAATCGGCTTGTCGTTTGGTTTACAGACCGATATTCCTTCAAGATCTCTACGATGGTCATTGGCCTCTTCACTCGCAAGTCGTACACGCGCCTTCTCAGGATGCGTGAAGTCGCAGTACCGCCTGTGTGAGCAGCTTCGTCCTGAGTTTGTTGTTTCAGGACCACCTCAAGTATTTGCTCTCCTCGCCTCCTCACCTATAACTCCCAGCATGATGGCACCCCATGGATCGCATGTGCACGACAGCTCTCAACTTGTATCTGGCGTAACATCAAGATTGAATCGCACGCAGCACCAACAATCATACCGTAACACAAACAATTCATCCTGCCAGTACACCCGCCGAACATCCATTTCCATAATCTACTTCGCCATCGGTCTTCGCCAACTCACCTTCACATACACACCATTCTTGCCATCCTCAGCACTCCATGCTGTGATTCATAAGTAAGATGCGTACCCTAGCGCCTTTAATTGCACAATGCATAGCACAGAACTACCTGAGCCCTGATCTGTTGCCTCGAGGCTTGCAGTGTGTGCCACAATCTGCATCATGTGAAATTCAGCTCGCTGTTAGACGCCTACCACGTCACCTACTACGCCATGGTGTGGCTGAACTTGCTAATAAGTTCGAGTTCTTCCCGGGCCTAAATGTGACATTGCATACATGGCCCCGTCAGTAAACCTAGGGCCTTTGTCAGGTTTCAACTTCACTGTACAGTTGGAACCTATACATGTATGACAGTGGCCGCACCAAGTCGTGGTTGCCAATCAAGGCAAAACTACTTACATAAATAATTGTTACGCTCGGTAAAAGCCATCTTCGGATATTGGTCCCCATCAACCAATATCTTCGTTGGCATGCACTTAGTTCTTTCTTATTCTTCCTGTTTCCATTTGATTACATCAGTACATTAGCCCTACAGTATTTAAACCCTCGTTGAACTACTGTAGAAGTAGTTGATCTTCCCCCGACTGAATACATTTTAGTTCGGACAGTTACCTTGTCTGAAACCTTAAGCGTATTCCTCGCCTTCGACTCGTTCTTACCGTGTGAACACTCTCTGAGTGCCACATATTTTCAACTGCTATAAAATCTAAAATCTATTCCTACGCTATAGTCGTTGTCGAGGAGGCCTGATCACCCTCCAGAAACCTGACTCTTGTACACCCCCGGAAAGAAAAACCTTCGATATCGATACCTGTTAAAAATGCCTACCCGCGCACCAGGCAATGCTTCTCCACTCTCTTCGACGAGGTTGAGGGCTCAGAGTGTTGATGCTCGCGCTTCAGGGCTTGGAGCCCAAAGCACCGAGTCTCGAGACAATACCCCTGTCTCTGGAGACAATGGGACCGGCCGCCACCCGGCAGAGCCTCCCACTAGACTAGGTCCTCGTGACCTGAACCCAATGGATCTAGATCCACCCAAGGCATTGAATGCTGCGTCCAGCCCCGCCCTTAGTAAAAATTTGAATAATGATGATATTCCCCGCCTAAGGGAAGTGTTCGACTGGTCAGACTCGTGTGACAATGGAGATCTGGGTGACGTACCCGAGTACCCAGTCCTCACTCCCAGTCCGATCCCAGCAGAGACAAGCTTCAAGCCGGATGAGCCCCCCCGAGAGAAGGGAAAGGAAGTAGACCCGCTAGAGAAAAGCGGGTCCCAAAAAAAAGAGCTATTCAAAGACTGGTTAGGTGAATGGACCGACTTTGATGAAAACATGGCTGAATTGAACCGACCTGGGTCTGATGACTCGGATGAATCTCTTGTGAAGATGTGGGACGATGAAAATCGTCGAGGATTCATCCAAGTGCAGAACTTAGCCCTACAACGATTCCGAAAGATCACCAGAGAAGAGTTCACTGACAAATGTAATAAGGTGAATGACCTACAAGAGAGGGTGCACGAACTCGAGAAGCTAGTCATCCAGGCCCAGACCCGGGAAGAGATGGCACAAAGACTAATGGACGAGACTCACCGTGCTCCAACCATTAATGGACTCGCAACCCCCAATGAGAATCAAGGAAGTGAAACGTCTAACAGACGCCAGGCTGGTGATGGTAACCGTGAGAGTACCCCCGCAGTCAAAACCGATGACCCACCAAGCATAACAAAATCACAAACTAGTGGAGCGTCAAAGAGTGACACTAGATACTGGCGGGCATCGTCCCTGTTACTAAGCAAAAGCTCGGTCAAACGAGCTATCGTCGGGAGTGACCCCAGTGACCCAGATTCCTCTGATTCATCCTCCGAGTCGGAGGACGACGGTGAACAATCGTCCACCGAATCTTCCGACGATGAGCCAAGGAGAAAACCAGCCCAGAAAACCAAGGAAAAGATAAGGGTCACTACTGGACTAGGAGCTGATGAGGACTCACCAGATGACCTTAACGCGATGCTCCTCGCCATGGAACCTGAGTCTGACCATGATAGCGACTCGATAGAGACGAAACGCCTGAAACGGGCGGCACGACACAAACATCGAGCACAACTGAACCTGCTAAAGTATCAGCAGGGATTCCTAAAGCACAAGCCTCCATTCACTTACAATGGTGAGGCCAACTCGTCGACCTTCAAGAAATGAGTCCGCGAAGTAAGGGAATGGAGAGACAGGGCCAAGCTGTCAACTCAGCAAAGTCTAAGAATGATTGGCAAGTACCTGGGAGGGAACACGTATCGGTTCTATGAGCGAGATCTCCTTGACCTCAAAAAGTGATACTCGCTTACGGACTTCTTCAAACAACTCTTTGACTATGTATTCCCCACGGACTTCCGGGATGGTCCAGAGACAGAGGTTCCTAGACTGCAAGCAAGATGGGAAACAACCTGTTAGAGACTACATACGTCGCCTGCGTGAGTTAGCAGATACAACCGGAGACGTGGGGGAATGCAAGCTAGTCCGCCAGTTCTGGATGAACTGTAAGCCTTATATCAAGGCATCTCTCGTGGATAAGGGCTATGACCCTAATACAGTTAACATGGATACCATTGAGAAGAAGGCACTTTGAACTGAACACGCCTTTAATGAAAATGCCCGCGACCCGAATGTCCTTCTTGCCCTGAATTCAACCCTGGCTGCTGGTATCGCAGACCAGTCACCTCCTGACAGACGTGATCGCCGGAACCGGGGGCGCGACAGAAGGACTCACACTAGGTCCCTGGCTGTGAATTCGGTGAATCCCTCGAACCCGCGGAATGCCAGAGAGAGCAGACGCCCGGGAAACCCTAACAGGACCAGAGATACCCCACGCTTTTCTGATCGCCCCAAGAAAAGTGCCGACACCCTTTGAAAACTCCGGGACCTCAATCAATGCTTTGAATGTGAGCAAACGGGACACTTAGCGAAGGACTGCCCCAAAAGACACTGACTTCCTCCTCAACACTCGAGTAGAGTCTCCACCCTCAGGTCCAATGCTGTGGGCGTCACGGCCGCTGATATTCGATCAGCTGCCCTCAGCGAAGGCACTGCTCAAGGCCTATACGGCTTTGCTATAGGTCTGTCCACTGAAAATGATGTGGACCAGCTGCCAGAATTAGAGGCTGCCAAGCATCTGGTGGTAACTGAAAGAGCGTTATCCATGCTAAGAATGGCCGTCCCACTGCCTACAGATGAGAGTCATGACCTGCTATATGACCCTTTGGCACCTGATTGTTTCCAGCTGACCAACTGGGGAGGACATGAGACCTACCTCTTGTCCGATAAGCACAACTATGATGACTACATAATCTACTACTCACAGTTGTGTGACCCAGCGTTCGACATAGTCCCCTGGCTGACCGACCTGAAGCTGCGAAACTACGACGACCTAATCAAGACCAAGTTGTCATTCAGACCTACCTGGTTTGGCAATGCCATCCCAGAAGGAATGACACACTCTGGAGGAGACCCATATGCTGACCTGTATGACGTTTCCTCCGACTCAGGAAATGGGGAAATCAGTTGTGAGTCCTGTGATGAATGGGTCACTACAGATGAGGAAGGCAGGGAAATGGTACTCACCGACTCTGAGGTAGACCTTCCCTCGCCTAGATTCGCAGTCATTGAAGATGATGAAGATGTACCTGATCTTCTCAGTTGTGAATCAAGTGACGAGGAAAGTCCTGTTGAAACAAGTGAGCTCTTCTGCGGAATGGCAAACCAATCCAAGACTGACCTACCTGATCTCCGTGCCCTACAGCGTCAGGCAGCCAGACCAAAGTCCTCGGTCCATATCCTGCCCAAGTCGATTGTTGTAGTTGTCCTCCTGAACAGGAAACCCTGCTGAGCATTGTTAGACTCCGGGTTGTTAATGGACTTCGTATCTAGCACTGTGGTTGACCAATTAAAATTGGAATTTGAGCTACTACAGAAACCAATACCTCTGCAGCTTGCTGTCTCGGGCTCCAGGAGCACTGTGAAGGCAACGATGAACGTTGAGCTGACTTATCAAGACATCAAGTGCGTACATACCTTTGATATTGCAAACCTCGAATCCTACGATGTGATACTGGGTATGCCCTTCCTATACCAGCACCAGGTGCTCCTGGGGTTCAACCCACCTGAGATAAAGATACGGAGCATCGACCCTCTCCCTATCTGCGGCTCGCAGACTCAGATCCTTGAGCTGCGAGAAACGAGTCTGTCCACTGACATGATCGATGCGTACTCTAATGAACTTTGTGATTATGCCCAAGATATCTGTAAGGAGGCAGTTGAGACACCCTTACCTCCTCTCTGAGCCCCTTCAGTGACAAATCCCGTATTATACGGGTCACCCGACCTACATAATATCCCGTGTAATACGGGCCAGCGGATTATGGGCCGATGTTATGTATATACCCGATGTTGACGGGTGGGCCGGGAGGAATATTATTTCCGATGGAGACGGGTGGGCCCATCTATGCTGATGTTATATATATCATCGATGATAGCGGATGGGCTGGGAGAAATATTATCATGGAGATGGGTGGGCCCATGTGGGTAATATGTAGAGTAGGATTGACATATATTATAGACCTGAGGAGAGATGTATAGCAAATAGTATTATATAGACGGGTGGGCCGACGTATCAGTATTATTTTGTAGATGGATGGGCCGAGGGAGCGGTGAAATATTTATTAGATAGACGGGTGGGCCAACGTAGGGAAATATTAGATAGATGGGTGAGCCAAGGGTGGGGTGAATTATTTATTACATAGACAGGTGGGCCGATGTGGGGTAATATTAGATAGACGGGTGGGCCGAGGGTGAAGTGAATTATTTATTACATAGACAGGTGGGCCGATGTGGGGTAATATTAGATAGACGGGTGGCCTGAGGGTGAGGTGAATTATTTATTACATAGACGGGTGGGCCGACGTGGGGTCATATTAGATAGATGGGCGGGCTGAAGTGCAGAATTTTACATAGACAGGTGGGCCGAGGGTGAGGTGAATTATTTATTACATAGACAGGTGGGCCGAGGGTGAGGTGAATTATTTATTACATAGACGGGTAGGGCTGACGTGGGGTCATATTAGATAGACGGGTGGGCTGAAGTGCAGAATTTTACATAGACGGGTGGGCCGACATCGGGTAATATCAAGTACCAAGTACTAAAACCCAAAACCCAAAACCCAAAACCTGAAACCTGAAACCTGAAACCCGAGCCCTGAACACCTAGACTCGGGACTCAAGAGACTCAAAATTCAAAACTCAAAACTCAACTGGAAACTCATACATTGTTACGAGTTAAGAAAATTCAAATTTAAGATGATATACATACATTTTTGTCATCTGGAAATACCAAGTACCGAGTACCGAGACCTGATACCCAAGACCTGAGATTCAGCACTCGGTAGTCAGTGAAATGAGTACAGAAATACATAAGATACTACACATTAGTTTCAAATTTTGACTTGTGAATCACCAGTCTCAAGTCTCGAGACTCGAATCACCGAGTAATGACTACCAAGTACCAAGTACCGAGTGCCAAGTGCCAAGTGCCAAGTGCCAAGTGCCAAGTGCCAAGTGCCAAGTGCCAAGTGCCAAGTGCCAAGTGCCAAGTTCCGAGTGCCGAGTGCCGAGTGCCGAGTTCCGAGTGCCGAGTGCCCTGATGCTTCCGGGTATTAAAACACAGATAGCCCTCGCTCTCAGGGGGTCATCAGAATTTAGATCACCTCAAACGGATGTGATTTGGGTGAGATATGAGCAAAATACTATATACCGGGTGAATTTCAGCATTGGAAGTTTGATGCTTTCGATGTTTTTGATGTCGGGTCTCGATGCATTCGGGCATTGACATGTAGATAGCCCTCGATCTCAGGGGTGTGGCAAAATGTAGATTGTCTGAAACAGATATAATTTGAGTGAGATATATGCAAAATACCACACACTGACTACCGAGGGCTGAGTACCAAGTGCCAAGTGCCAAGTGCCAAGTTCCAAGAGCCAAGTGCCGAGTTCCGAGTTCCGAGTTCCGAGTTCCGAGTTCCGAGTTCCGAGTTCCAAGTTCCGAGTTCCGAGTTCCGAGTGCCGAGTGCCCCGATGCTTTCGGGTATTCACACCCAGATAGCCCTCGCTCTCAGGGGCCCGTCAGAATTTAGATCATCTCAAACAGATGTGATTTAATGAGTCCCAAGTGCTGAGTGCTGAGTGCTGAGTTCCGAGTTCCAAGTGCCGAGTTCCGAGTGCCAAGTGCCCCGATGCTTTCGGGTATGAACACCCAGATAGCCCTTGCTCTCAGGGGCCCGTCAGAATTTAGATCATCTCAAACAGATGTGATTTGAGTGAGATATGAGCAAAATACTATATACCGGGTGAATTTCAGCATTGGAAGTTCGATGCTTTCGATCTTTTTGATGTCAGGTCTCAATGCTTTTGGGTATTGACATGTAGATAGCCCTCGATCTCAGGGGTGTGGTAAAATTCAGATTGTCTGAAACAGATATAATTTGAATGAGATATATGGAAATCCCATATACTGACTACCAAGTGCTGAGTACCAAGTGCCAAGTGTCCCGATGCTTTTGGGCATTACCACCCAGATAGCCCTTGCTCTCAGGGGTCCATCAGAATTTAGATTATCTCAAACAGATGTGATTTGAGTGAGATATGAGCAAAATACTATATATCAGGTGAATTTCAGCATTGGAAGTTCAATGCTTTCAATGATTTTGATGTCGGGCCTCAATGCTTTCAGGCATTGATATGCAGATAGCCTTCACTCTCCGGGGTCCTTCAGAATTCGGATCGTATTTCAGCATCAGGAGTTTGATGCTTTCAATGATTTCAATGTGAGGCCTAGATGACTGTGTTCATTGACATGTGGATAGCCCTCAATGTCAGGAGTGTCGCAGAATTCATATGGCCTCACATGGACATATGAGGTAATGTAGGACATTCTCAACACATCAGGAGACACATAAAACACATCATAAGGCACTACATCATGTCTTCAATAGTCATACCTATGTGTAGTATTATAGTGTGATCTTTAATATACTGTTCAGGCTGACACTCATCAAGTATCACAGGTCTATTGTACAGACTTAGAATAAAATACAGTAGTCTTAACTTGATAGTCATTACACGATAGTCTTCACTTGATAGTCTAATATGATTGTTGATTACTACATAATACATAAGCTGTGAGGGTTAGGATTATTATGGAAGATATGACAGTCATGGTTATTAAGAAAGCTTATATTATGCCTAGCAAGTTAAGACTATTGAGTTAAGACAATCATATCCTTAGTCTAGTAAGCACTGTCAAAGCTTGTGACCTTCTGGTAACCGTGTGGCAAAATCATATTTTGCTGATGTATATATCTTGTGATTGTAACTTTCTTGCACCAGTGCAGTGATTGCTTTGAATTTCGAGTTTTTTTGTATTTAGAGATACATACCACTGACAGATACTGGTTCAGGGACTGGAACAGTACATTGGAAGCCAATCTATCATATTATACATAGGTGTGATCATAGCAAACCTGATGCAGTCCCTGATGATGTGTTTTTATGTTTCTCCTGATGTTTTAGAATTTTTCCCACACAAGGCTGACAACAAAGACATTGAACCTGCGAAGCTCAGACACACCCAATAAATTGTATTTTGCTCATATCTCCCTCAAATCATGTCTGTTTGAGGCAAAATATGATCCCCAACATCCCTTCAATAGTATATGCAATATATAAGGATACTAGGACAACAGGATTTATTCCTGTTGTGCTATGTGCTTACCCTTGGTGCAAGGCCTGACATCAAAAATCACCCGATATATAATATTTTGCTCATATCTCACTCAAGTCTTATCCGTGTGAGACGATCTGAATTGTGACAGGCCCCTGAGATCAAGTTCTATCTGCTTGTGAATGCCTGAATGCATTGAGGCTAGACATTGCAAACATGGAAAGCATTGACCTTACAATGCTGAAATACACACAGTATATGGGATTTTGCTCATATCTCACTCAACTCTTATCCATTTGGGATGGGCTAAATTCTGCCAGACCCGTGAGATCTAGGGCTATCTGCATGTCAATGCCTGAAGGCATCGAGGCTTGATATCAATAACATCAAAAGCATCAAACTTCTGATGGTGAAATTCACTTGGTATATAGTATTTTGCTCATATCTCACTCAAATCACATCCGTTTAAGATGATCTAAATTCTGACTGGGCCCCTGAGAGCGTGGGCTATCTGGGTGTCAATACCCGAAAGCATCGGGGCACTTGGCACTCGGAACTCGGAACTCGGAACTTGGAACTCGGAACTTGGAACTCGACACTTAGTCCTCAGCACTCAGTAGTCAGTATATTTTATTTTGCACCTTTCCCAAGTACATGCCCTTAATTTCAGAATGAAGTCCAGATGACATCCAATGAAGTCCGAAGGACTTCCTGGAGGCTGGCTACTCTGGTGGAGTGCTGGAGGACTTCTGGATGAGCACAGGAACCTTCCGGAGGAGTATAGGAACTTCTAGAGAAGTACAGGAAACTCTGGAGGAGTTTCACCTGCTGCATAGGGTCCAAAGATAAGAATTCTGAAGGTAAGCTTCCTAGATGGAAGCACATGGAGGAGAGACTGCAAGGGACAGAGTCCAAAGCAGGATCAGATAGGAGGAGTGGTCCAGAGGACAGGACGTCTGAAGGTTGCGCCATCTGAATGTTCAGATGTCCAAAGGTTATGATGTCCAAAGGTTACAATGTCTGAAGGTTTTGATATATGAAGGGTAAGATGTCCGGAGATCCAAAGGTCCGGAGGTCAGCAGGAGTGGACAGGATTATAGGACAGGAGAATAAAGGCTACCATGGACAAGGTCTGGAGTAGAAGCAAACAGAGGTAGGCTACACTTAGGTGGAGTCAGAGATAACAGGAAGTAGACATAAGTCTTGGAAAGACAGGAAGTGCCAGAAAGGCAAAGGTCCAGCTTAAGGAATCAATCCTTAAGCTTGGATAGAGATGGAAGGACAAATCCAAAGGTTTGGAAGTCCAGCCTAAGGAATCCTTCAGGTTGGACTCGGATCTCGGTACACTTCACTTGATTTTCGATATCCGGGACTCCATAGTCGGAACTTGAGTCTTAAATCTCGGGTGTCGGTTGTCGGTTGTCGGGTGTCAGGTGTTGGGTGTTGGGTGTTGGGTCTCGGTGGTCAGGACTCAATATTTGGGACTCATTGGTCGGGACTTGATACTTGATTGTTGGGATTCAATGGTCAGGCATTGGGTTTCAGGACTCAAATCTCGGGCTTCGGGA